TCCCCTTTGTTAAACTTCACCTTGTTCAAATGTTCATGCCTTTTTAATAATCTTTAACCGAGAGGAATTTGTGTCCATATAGAGTTATTTTGAGTATTATCCTTGCTCATTATTGGCATGAACAATTCAGACCCAGAAAAGAAAAGATATAAGGAAGAGGAAGACTTGGACCTTAAAAATTCGACACCAAAGCATTAATTAATCAATATTTTTAAGTTTAAAAAAGTTTAAGCTAATTGTGGCTATGCTTATTCAAAAATAATCATTCATTTCCGATGGAAATTTATATTTATCCAGAAAAAGGAAATTCTAAAATTTAGCATCAATCTACGAGACACGCTTGTTCATATTAATACATGATATATGCACGAGTACCGAAAACAGCACTTGACTTATCAGTATTCCTTGCACAATATTGGTATAAATATAAATGGTGCGGTAAACCCTCCTTACATGACTAGGGCAGTGTAATCATTTCAGGTTATTACAAATAGTTAAATGATATATCTTATGAAAAAAGCCTCTTGAATTGTCATGAACAGGTAGTTGCAAGCATTTGTGCATTCTTTCTTAACAAGTACTAAATGGGATGGGAGTAATATCAGATGATTTCGATATGGTGGAATAAAGATATATATAGTCCTTTGTAAACATGTACCAAAGTCAATCATACAAATTTCATTTTTATATACGCAATTTGGGATAATTTTGCAAATTATTCTAACAAATCTAAATATATCTTCATGTTTTAAATTAAGAATATATTTTAATTTAATAGTCATTTTTTAAAAAAAAATGGTTCTGTGAAACAAAAGTAAGAATTGGTGCTTCAAATTCTTGAGACAGACACCTTTTTCTTCTTTAGCATAACGGGATTCTTGACATGTCATCCACTTGTGTCGAATTATCTCGAGTTGATTAATTCCATTTTATGCATTTCTGAAATAGTTAAAATGCTGTTTATCTTAATGATCTTTTTTAGAAAAAATTATCAGATTGTTGTGAACTTCAAGTACACTATACGCGTCATTACTGCCATTCATTGACAGGGTCGAATTAATTTTCATTTTCCAGATGTTAATTAGCAGTAATAATCATTTCTTTTATCACAAAGCAATAACTTAACATGCATGCAGGAAATAAAAACTTCGGCCTGCACACTGATGGCGCTATGGTAATATACAGACGATGTCGACAAATAACTCCCTCACGAAATTATAAAGGTATTGACAATGTTAACACGAAATGATCACCTCTCAATTAATTATTCGATGAAAAATCACGCACCGTGTTTTGATCAGATTTAGACGGTAATCATTGACGATGATAAGTTAATTAACAAATCTGATTGAATTGTTTTTCATGATTTAAGGAAATCCGATCCATTAGTCAGTAAGGATAAGTCTTAAAATTATTTTTTTAATTTATTAGGTCTCAAAATTTTTTATTTTAAGCATCTTTATATGATCCAAGGTTCTTTGAAGTCTAGAAGGGGTCTCGAAAAAAATAGAAATTTGCACCAAATAAAAGTGTTTAAAAAACACCAAGATTTGATTGTGAAACACTGGCATTATTTCAAACAAAACATAAACGGATTGTCACAAATATTATACAATGCTATGCTCCAACAAATGATGCAAAGTACAAAGCAAAAGACGAGTTCTACAACAGACTACAAAGCGTAATTGACACCTGTAAAAGAGATGTTACCATCATGATGGGAGATCTTAATGCAAAAATTGGAAATGATAACACCGAATATGGCGAGGTCATGGGACAACATGGACTGGACCAAATGAATGAAAATGGTGAAAGATTAGCAAACTTAATATGCATTCAACAAATTAGTTATCGGTGGCACTTTTATTCCAGCACAAAAGAATATACAAAGCCATCTGGGTATCACCAGACCAGATAATTGAAAACAAGATAGACCATATATGTATAAATAAAAAGTTTAGAAGATATTTGCAGGATACCAGAGTCAAACGAGAAGCAGATGTAGCCTCAGATTACCATTTACTGACAAGCAGCATCAAACTGAAGCTCAAGAAAATGAAAACAGAAAGAAACTCTCAGAGAATCAGATATAACACCAGGTTTCTCCAAGATACTCAAATCTTACAGGAGTATACGATTGCAGTGAAAAATAAATACCAAGCCCTACAGGAAAGTGGTAAACTAACAACAGTTGAAGATCAGAAGATCATTGGAAAGGGAAAAAAAAGAAACCATCTCAACAAGTTGCCATGAAATACTGGGAGTGAAAAAGTACCATAATAAAGAGTGGATCACAAATGACACTTAGGAAAATAGAGGAGAAGAAGGATACGAAGGTTGTGGTCAATTCAAGCAGAACAAGAGCTGAAAAAACAAAACCACAAAAAGAGTACGCAGAGGCCAACAAGAGAACAAAACAAAGTATTAAAGCTGACAAAATAAGGTACACCGAGAAATTAGCAATTGAAGCAGAACAAGCTGCAAAAGCAGGAAACATGAAAGATCTGTATGACATCACATAGAAGCTAGCTGGTAAGCGAAGTAAACAAGAAAGGTCAGTTAAAGACAATGCAGGGAAACAACTAGGAGAGGAAGAACAAAGGAGATGGAAAGAACATTTTGAAGACTTGTTGAATGGGCCAGTTCCACCTAACCCTTCTTATATTACACCAGCAGACGAAGACCTAGACTTTAACTGAAGACCACTTACTAAGGAGGGAATTTAAAAATAGCCCTAAAACAGATGAGGAATGGCAATTCAGCAGTTTTTCATGTCCTTTATCCCCTTTGTACAACATGCTTACATGGAGTGGATTTAAATGAAAAGGTATTACCCAACCCCTAGGTATAGTATATGATAACCAGTACCCTTAGAATATTTGTCTAGTTTTTAGCTTTTAAATTAGAGAAGTATGATTATTGGTTTAACTGGCATAAAAATACATTAATACATGTATTTTAGGTACTTTTTCTGTTATTTGACAATAATGCTTTAGTAAACCTTGCATTATAAAACAAGATATTTATATTTGACAGATTGCTTTAGGCTTGATCTATTCTTAATTTCATCAACATTCATATCTTTTTGAACAAAACAAAACAACAACAACAACAACAAAAAAAAAAAAAAAAAAAAAAAAAAAAAAAAAAAAAAAAAAAAAAAAAAAAAAAACAAACAAACAAAAAACTGTAGTGCTTTGTAGACTTTCAAATAAATATCTTCATATAAATTTACTTACAACATACATAGATCATTTCTAATTATTATGTTGTTTATATTCATTACAAATTTCAAATCACTGCATTTGGTATAAAAAATGCACCCTCAACCATATTTTTACCATCCAAATTTACTGCACTTTGTTGGACATTGCACAACTGTAAACAACCAAGTGTGACCATAGAATTCCCCCTTCCCCCCACACAAATATAAATGCTTGTGTATTCAATGTAGCTTTGTTCTCAGCCCTAGTGTCACACTGACACAGAAAAATTGTCTATAAGATGGAGTACATGTACTTCCATTACACCACTTTTTAACACCAGTGTTAAGTCTGTGCTTCTCTATGGTTCCGAGACATGGAGGATGACCGATGTCACAACAGACAGGTTCCAGACATTCGTCAACTCTTGTCCGAGATGCATCCTCCAGATTAGATGACCCGACAAAATAAGTAAAAACAATTTGTGCAAGAACAAACCAAGCCCCTTTAGAAACAGAAATAATGCAGAGAAGGTGGAGGTGGGTGGGGCATACTCTACGCAAGCCACACAATAACATCACAAGGCAAGCCATTTCCTGGAACCCCCAAAGAAAATGTAAGATAGAGAGGCCAAAGAACACTTCGCGGAGAGATTTGAAGGCAGACGTGAAAAGAATAGGGAAGATCTGGAAGGAGGTAGAAAGCATTGCTCAGGATAGAGGGGCCTAGAGTAATCTTGTCAGCGGCCTATGCCCAAAAAGGGGTAGCAGGCAAAAGTAATATTTTTGTAAAAGTGGGTTAAACTTCAAGGTCAAGAAATCAAATGTTGTGGTAACTGAAGAAAGGACTTGTCACAAAGAAATTGAAAGAATATACCTATGAAATATGAAAGCCATAGCCTTACCCACTCAAGAGTTGTTGGCAAGGATATAGTTTTTGCGGAAAAACATAAAAACAGACAGACGGACAGACAAGGCAAAAACTGTATACCACCAAATTGTCAATAAAAATATAAAAAAAAAATGAAATTTTGAAGAAATATCATTTTCTGATATAATAAATTTTTTTTTATATGTATCAAAAGGTGATTTTTTGATAACAAAAAAAAGAAGACTTTTTGGATATCAATAATTCTATTTTTGATATAAAAAAAATTTAACATTGTTCATAGATATCAAGAATTTGACTTTTTGATACACGTTTTAGAAAAAAATTTTGTTTTATATCAGGAATTTGCAATTTTGATATCAGAAAATGATTTTCTGATATAATAAATCTATTTTTGACATCAAGATATATTTTTGATATCACAAATTCAAATTATTGATATCAGTACAGTGGACCTTCAGATATCCAGATGCTTCAGTATCCGGACAATTTTTCATTGGGATGCAATACTTTAATGTTATTTTGTCTTGTTTAACTGGTGATTCAGGTATCCGGACGCTTCACATATCCGGACAAATTGAATAGGAACCAAAGTGTCCGGATAAATGAGGCTCCACTGTATATACATATTTGATATCAGAAAATACCCCAAAATACTGTATTAAATCAGCACCTTATAATATCACTTGAGGGTCTTTTATAATACTTTCCAACTGACTTACACTCAGATAATCAACCCGAATTAGACCATACCATATATACCTTTAATCTGTACAAAATGTTATTAAATCTTAAGACTTTATATAGATACATATATTAAATCAAATTGCACTTAATAAACAACAATATTTCCTTTCCATGGCTTGACCTTTTGTTTTAATTCATATTTAGAAAATAAAAAACAAAACAAACATCTGCTCTCTCTTTAATGATGGAGTGGATATGATAATGAAATAAAAATCAGCTCCAAGAAAAGAAATCAAAATACCAATGGAGAAGTATGTTAATACATATTTCCACCAATGGACATAGTTCAACAATGTCTAATTTATTCCTTTGGATCTCCACAATTCAATTCTGAGATGAATTCATCATAGACAACATTAACAAATAACATATGACCTTATAATGTATGCCTATTTAAAAAAAAAAACAAAGAAAAATTCCTATCCAATCTTTCATTATCACACATTCTTAGCAATATTTCCATTCACACAATCAATGAAATAAATATTTCAATTACTTTTATATTTATGTAACTAAAAAAGAGGTTGGATTTACATACTTTACATTGTACAGAAAACAAAGTTGGAAGACAGAAAATTAATCACAAAGGATGCCCAAGAAGTAAATTCCTCTCTCTTGTTTAGCACAATTAAAATTGTAAATGCACAGGGAAAGAAGAAATTTAGTACACATAAACTTCAAAAATCTTTTACACATCATGTGCATAAACATGCATATTTGAAAACTTTTCTTTGTGTAAGCATAAAAAAATTTCCAAATCTTTACAAGAAAGATCACATCAGGCTACAAAACAACAATGTTACATCATACATGTTTTACATGTATACATCTACAGTGATTAGGATGGAAAATGTTTTTTATAACTTTTTTTAAGTATATGTTTAGTGATTCTTCCTTTCAGATTTCTAATCTGTTTCTCTGCCTGCCACTGCGTTTTCACTTGGTGTTGAGGTCCCCAAAACAACGTGAAAATACAGTGGTAAGGTGAGAACCAGACTATTTCATTTTCTTATAAATGTAACTATTCAGTAGACTTAAAAGGAATTATTTCAAGTTCTACTGATTATGTATGACTATATTAACAGGAATTCTAATGCAGTTTTTCATGTCCTTTATCCCCTTTGTACCACATGCTTACATGGAGTGGATTTAAATGAAAAGGTATTACCCAACCCCTAGGTATATTATATGATGACCAGAACCCTTAGAATTTTTGTCTAGTTTTTAGCTTTTAAATTAGAGAAGTATGATCATTGGTTTAACTGGCATAAAAATACATTAATAAATGTATTTTAGGTATTTTTTTCTGTTATTTGACAATAATGCATTTAGTAAACATTATTATTAGTAATGCATTATAAAACAAGAAATTTATATTTGACAGACTGCTTTAGGCTTGATCTATTCTTAATTTCATCAACATTCATATCTTTTTGAACAAAAAAAAAAAAAAACTGTAGTGCTTTGTAGTCTTTCAAATAAATATCTTCATATAAATTTACTTACAACATACATAGATTATTTCTAATTATTATGTTGTTTATATTCATTACAAATTTCAAATCACTGCATTTGGTACAAAAATGCACCCTCAACCATATTTTTACCATCCAAATTTACTGCACTTTGTTGGACATTGCACAACTGTAAATAACCAAGAGTGACAATAGAACCCCCCTCCCCCACACAAATATAAATACTTGTGTATTGTAGCTTTGTTCTTAGCCCTAGTGTCACACTGACACAGCAAACTTGTTTACAAGATGGAAAACATGTACTTCCATTACATTTCAATCCGTATTTTTGCTGTATTGAATGATTTACAGGTCTGTCTTTAATCACTCTTATGCGTCATTGGCGGAAACTCGTTATCATCATCTAGTCGTAGATGTCCCAGGCCTGGCCCCTCCCTCTCCTGCCCCGAGGTTCCATGCTCCAGTTCTTGGTATGGTTGCGATTCTGAAAAAGATGTCAAAATATCAGTCTTGCATCATAAGGAATTTAGAAACCCCTGATAGTACTGACATTGCATCAAACGATCTATATTATTTGTCTAGGTATCTAGTCAAAAAAAAGCTTTTTCACAAGTGTATTTTAATAAAGTTAAAACTCATCAGGATTAAACACAAGACCAATTTTCCATCTGCCTGTCTTTTCATCTTTCAGTCATAATTGTTTGTATATCTCATACTTCTGTTCTTTCACATTTATCTATCTGTCTCATATATGAACTTCTAGTGCAACTATTTCTTCTTAGTCCAATGACAGCGATCTAATTAATCTACTGAATTAGCCCATCTCTCCCATTAATTCCCAACTTAAGACACTGTCCAAAACATACTGTCTCTGAATTAGTCTGAATCACATCAAGTTAGAAGGCTAGTTACATATACATATATATATAAATATTAATCAAAATTAGATGTTAATCTAGTAGCTGCATTTACTAGTATCTGTAGAAAGATAATTGCAATATCTGTAAAATGTGTTAGTGTCATGTTTCTATTTGTACAACATTAATAAACAATACACTTCAAAAATCAGACAAAATCCATCAAATGTGAAAAAAAGTGATTGGCGTTACGTAGAAAGCAAACATGCTAAACAAAAATCATTCAAGATCACTAAAAATAGAAAAACTTAATATAACTATGACAAATGATGTGTGAAATGTACATAATTCTTTCCTTAACGGGACTAATCTATCATTTCTTCGGTCTCATGATGTGAAAACTACTACAGAAAAAATTCTATTTAAAACTTTTTCAAATTTTGTCAGGTTGTAGATGAAGCTTGTTGGTTTAATTCAGTGTTTTTTGATAATTTTGGTGATAGCAATTATTTGTGAAATATTACATAATTACTATTCTATAGGAGAAAAAAGTCAAATGCAGTTCAGAATACCACAGAAAAAAAGGCATGCAAAATTTTCACTTAATATACATGTACTTGTTTTTGAAAAAAAGGACCTGTTGCATTGGAAGACTATTTCCAAAGATGTGAAAAAAATATAAGCAAAGAGCACCGATATATAAAATATTTGTTAATTAATAGTACTTTATGTTTAAAAAAGTCATAAATATAAATTTGTACCTGGGTCACACCAAAGGTAAATTTCACTAATTAGAAAGTTAAAGTACAGTTTAATATGATATGAATTCTTCCACCTGTGATGTTACCAATTGCTGATATTAAAAAAGGTATAGCATGGTTTTTATGTATCATAACGTCTGACATTTCAATGATGTTTAAAACTGTAAATTTTGAATCTAAGCAAAAATATTTACCTATAAAATTTTCTCTGTAATGAAGTAGGTTTTAAAGAAAATTTATGAATATAAACGTGTTGAAGTATTTAAATTTCAATAAGAAATGGGAAAGAATTTGTGTAAGAAATGTCACACATATAATACATATACCTGCCTCTTTATGCAGGAAGGTTCCGATGGCTAATCTTGTCTACAAGATGCAAGGTGTGAACTCTTTGCACTCTCTTTAGCGGACATTAAAACTGGCAAAAAAATCATTACCTGGGCCACATAATATCTCATCAATTTCACTAGAAGGGCTTGGTGGCTCTACACTGACATCCTGTGGCCCCCCTGGCTTCTTCAACACCGCTGCATAGCTCCCAATCACATGACCTGGGGCCACACAGACGGGGGAAGGTGGCGCCCCCTGCTTGTTGGACTCCCAAGCCTTACCTGCTGGTACTACTGAAGACTCAGGCTTCTTGACAGATGAAGCATAACTGGTTCCGGTTGAGGGATGGGTTAAAGGTCGGTCAGGTGAGGAGACATCTGGCACAGGACTATCTCCTGCTCTGCCATCAAGCCTGTAATGTAATGTAAAGAATGGTTAGAAGAGAAGTATGACATAAATTCACTGAATTAAAGGAAATGTAAAGAGAGACAACTCTTACACAGAACTTTTGGTACGTGTAGTTTACCTGTGTTGTCGTAGAAGCATGCACTCTCCACCTTCATTAGGATCCAGATTATAAATGTATAGATAACCATCTTGGGATACAACCAGCTGTCTTGGGACCTTCTGAATCCTATAAGGTTTCATGTTAAAGTCCAGTACATGTAATAACACACAATTATATCTAACCATGTATGATGCCATCTTTCTGTGACTTAAAAATATCTGGCATAAGAGTAAATTTGCTGCTAAATCAATTTGGCTTTCGTGTCTTATTAATGTTTGAGTATACATATGAAAACATCAGAAGAATGAAACAGGATTATCTTCAATAAAGAAGCATTAACATCAAGTATTCTCCCTTAAACATGAACCTGTGTCTTGCAGACAAAATAAGAATGAAGTTATGCAACATCTCAGACTGGCAAGTCTATACATGCATATGCATTCTTAGATGAAAAAAGTAATAAAGGAATTTGAAAATAGGATTTGATGAAGAAAATTTGTCAGAACGTATACTTTTAATATATATATGTTCAGTCATTATGTGCTGCTTTTTATTGCCTCACTGTCACAATATATGTAGCAATAATTTTGAAACAAAGTACACTTAGTCTGGAATAAAATTGGATGTATGTTTGTAAAACATGTAGAAGAGAAATGTTAATTTAGATGCAGAAAAAAAGGCTCCTGATAATAATGGTAATTATCATGATTATGGCAAAAAATCAAAAGGCAATAGTTTGAGAAATGCAAATCTATTGTTCAACACAAGATCATGTATAATACCTTAATTAAAATTATGGAAAAGAATGCATTCTGTAATGGTCTTACGTGGCCAGAGCACAAACATTGTGCAGTCCTGAGTTGGGTAAGCGGGCTGTGGCAAAAGCTCTGCCCTGGTTGAACATTTCGGTCATCTGACTAGGTAAGTAGGTCGCAGAGGACTTCAGGGCCTGACCGAAATAGCCCATCCAGCCCTGGGGTTCCTGCTCAGTGGGCCTGTAAAGAAAAAAAAGGCCTATTTTAAAAAGGATCTTTGACCTGTAGCTGTGTTCCTGTACAATAACGGTTTTTGGTGTTTAGATTCATATTCTATAACTGGGTACATTCTGACTGATGTAGATAAGAAAAAATTAAAGAATAAAATTTAATACTGAAATCCAATGTTTATTATACCTGTCTTTGGGGGCCTCCAATTTAAATATGTGTACAGTCTCTGTGTTGCTGGATGCCGACAGAAATAGGGAATCTGCACTAAAGGCCATGGAATATATGCTCACACACCTATGTGTACAAAGAAATCAGAAAATTACATTACACTGAGCAAGTGAAAATTCTTTTACACTGTATTTATATTGAACATGGTGCATTTTTGCTTTGAAAAAATATCTAAATAATTAAATTGACATATCTTTTACAGCAAGACTTACCTCTTTACCCCCCTTCTGAACTCAAACAGCTTCTGTCCATCAGGAATTGAGAACACCCTTATAACTGTACCCTAAAATCAGTTTTAAATAAACCTTTTACAATGTTCAATATAAATACCATAAAATCGCATGTATTTGCTGAACTTTTTTCATCAGTAAATTGTTCAAAATTAAGGATACACTCAATACATAGGAACAAAATGCAACCCCCTATTTTCAGGTCACTTTCTCAGTGCCTAGTACCATATTCCCATCCCAACTGATATGATTACTCTTTGTAACTAATTATGTCTAAGAATTTTACTATTAGGTAAGCCTTTTGAGACAATTATAAAGAGTATTAACAAAGTACATTACACTGAAAACACAATTAATATACAAACATGCAAATCAATATATAATGACTAACATGTATAGGTAAATAGTGTAAGAAAAATAAATCAATTTACTGTGCTTCATCCTATCAGTCAGTTACCTTTTCAGAAGCAGTAGCTAATTTTGTTCCTTGAGCATTGAAAGCGAGTGAGGCGAGGGGATTATCATGGGCAGGTATCATGGTTACTGCCCTCTGAAATCAAATCATACGAAACATTAACTGAAATAGTGTGTATTTTATCATAATTCCATTGTCATTCATCTACAGACAGTATAGAAACATGCAATAAATCAATAATTTATTTTTTCTACAATTGCACCATCTCTCCTATTTACTAAATAATTAAAAAAAATTATTTATGAAAATTTAAAACTTACCAAATTGATTGTGTCGAATATTTGCACCTCCCCAATCTGGTTACTTCCTGGATAGGCCAGGAAACAGTTGTCATTGTTAATGGACAGAGCACACAATCCGTGAGGGTTAGGGGGCGTGTCACGGATTGTGTGCAGGACCTTCATGTCCCGTATATTGTGGATGTATAAACTCTCTTCTAAACATACTATCAGCCTCTGTAGAAAGAGAAAAAGAATATTAAGTGAGGACAATTGTTATGGAGAAACTACCACATAAATAAATAGATTCTATGGACTGATTTTTTTTTCCAGTAAATCTATATACACTGTTTTTTAGTGTTTCCAAATGACAAATAATTGTGTTTTCCCAAATGCCATTTATACAGTTGTACATAGCTGCTGATCTTCAGAATCTAAGGATATATTTATATGTTTCAAATTTAGGTTTACCTAATTTCATACATGAAATGATGATTGTAGAATTTATCTTTTAAACACATTTGGCATCTAATTCATTAGTGAGTGTGCTGAATGTTATTTCCTTCTTTTCATTATAAAAAAAAAATGACCTAATGTTCAATGACCTTTTATTTACCAGGAAAACCAGGTAGGCTGGTCTCCAGCATTAGGTTTCATTTATGTGTAAAGATTAAAAAGGCAATAGTCATAACACATCAGTTTATGAACATTTATTCATATCATTGTGACTGAATAAGACTTAAGTAACAATAATACAAAGGATGTTGACTTTTCCATCAATATGATACAGGGATACTGCAACTTTCAAGCTATGAATATTCATGAAGTCAGAATCAAAGATCAATAAAGTCTAATATTGCAAAAGAATTAATCACAAACATCTTCATTTTATCAGCATCTAACCCTTCTGTGTCAGGCAAGGTGTACATATGGACAGAACAGTGCACTATAAAAAGTTAATTGCCTATCAGTTGTGTGACCTCTCTTATTGTGTTGTACTGCAAAAGAGGGGAGGGGGTCCTGATTTAAACAAACTTTGAATGATACAAATGCTTCTTAAATAAGTAGAACTAATGGTTAGGATGATTTTTAGAGATTTTTTGTCTTATTTTTGTCTATGTATATTCCTATTTTAAATTTGATTGTCCATGGTAACCCCACCCTCCATGGGTCATATTTTGAATGAACCCAAATCTACATGTACATGCATTATCGCAAACCATGGCCAAAATGTACGAACCTCTTTCATTCTGGCCATGGTTGCATGTGACGAAAATATTTCGTAGCTCATTAAAATATTGACTGAGTTAAGCATAATCAGATAATGAATTTTGAAATTTGATGCAACCTTTCAATACCCAATCGCAGTGTACAAAATACTGCTGATGTAAATTGTTGTTTCAACTGCAATGGAAACAAAACTTGTCATTGACTGAATATGACGTCACAATAGAGAATCGTAAATATTCAAGATTACAACACTTTTTAGGGCTCTCAATTCTCTATAATTCTCTGTAATTTATGGGCCCATTCCCAATTCATAAAAGCTACCTTTTTTCCCAATTGAATGTGTTAATTTTCAAAAAAGTCTTTTCTCCCCAAAATTAAAGAAAATATAGCTGGATATGTAAGGCCATACTAAAAATATTCCTAGATTCTCATCCCCGCCCGCCCCGATTTTTTACCCCCGCCTCGATTTTTTTAAATTTCTGTTTTTCTTCATCTTAATTCTGATCGGGATCGGTTTTCATCTACCATTCGTTTTAAATCCCGCGAAAGTCGACATGATTTTGACAGCTGAAAAGATGGTAATTGCTGTAATACATGCGTATATATTTTAAACAAGGGTCATCAGTTGAAAAAGATTGGTGATGATGTGAAGTAAGAGATAATTGAACCTTTACTATGACTTTTATTCGGGTATTGTAGATAAAATTACACCGATTGACCAGGTCAATAAAAAATCTGCAAAATAGAAAAAATAAAAAATATAAAATAAAAGCCGCCCGCCCCAATTTTTAAAAAAATTTTCCTATATATATCTAGCAATTTATTTATTATGGCCTAATAATCAAATGCGTTTTTCACATTCTTCTGTATTTAAAAAACAATAGTTTAGTTAATAGCAAAGATCCGAAACCCAGTATATCATGTTTATAATGAATAATGGTTATTTCAAAATTTCCCAAAATGTTGATATTTTCCCCAATTTTGATGGACCTGGACCCATTCTCAAAAAGTGGTGTGATAGCCCTGCTTTTTGTGATCAAGCAGCCGTGGGTAGGAGAGAGCTATATGTGGACTCCAAACCATGACTTGAGACAATGATATGCCTGAGAATGTTTCCAAATAATAATTATTACATGTAATTACAGGGCTTGCTGTTCTTGAAAATATTTTTTTAAGTATATACCACAATACCTTCAGCCAGGGATATTATGTGCTAAGTTTGATAAAAATAGACCAAGTGGTTCTGAAGAAGATATCATTGTAAATATGGTAAAATTAAAAAAAATCATGACAATGACAACAATAAAAAAACAAAGACAGAACAAGGACACATTTTAAACAGAAAAGCTCACTTGAACCTTCTGCTCAGGGTAAGCTTAATACTTTAGATTCCTTATTTTTCGCGAGTACTTAATATCGGCCTTTTTAATGTCAAATCGTGTGAATAATTATTTGCAAATGTACAGTTGGTAAAGAGATTTTACACTGATTTCAGCATCATAAAAATAAAAGCGAGTATTTTTAAATCGCGAGTGTTGCTTCTCATGAACATTACTCGATTACAAATTCCACGTTTATATTTATGAATTTACAGTAGTGATAACATGATGGTAATCAGCATAATAAAAAGTCTAGAGTTAATGACCCTGCTATGCGCAAAGCCATTTCAGTTGTTTCAAATCTAAGATCACTATGTAAACATCTCAACACTTTCAAATTTAGTTTATGGAATGTTATGGAATGAATGGAATGTTATTAATTGCAAACATATAATTATAATAAGAATGCCTTAGGACCTAACTTTAAGATAAGTTTTTCGTTGACAACTAAATGCATAAAATTTATATTCTTACCTGTCTGTTCAGACGCACAGCTAAAATAGAATTGGAGTAACTGTAGTTACAAATTTCAGTCCCCTTCTTGAAATGACAGACTTTTAACTTTCTTGGAGAAGATAAACTAACTATTGCAACTAAACTACTGGAGAAAAGTCTTTCCACTATACAGATGTCTTCACTTTCTGAAATGGGAAAAGAAGTAACGATGTCATGTTCAAACATATTATGAGAAAGATATCTTAGAAATATAAAATGATTATAAAGATTTAGAAGGTTATGTCGAACGTTTACTTCAAGAACAGTTAAAACGTAGTTTTGGGCAATGGTCAGCTGACCTATTTTCAATGTGGTCATCAAGTTTGTTTACAATCATTTGCCCTACGTATATCTATATCTTACAAATATGTTCAGAAAATATGCATGTCATTTATTTTCTTATAAGCATATTTATTTTCGACTATTTTTCACACATTTAAAGCAAAAATAAGAGACATTACAGTTTTTCATAATTCTTTTGTTCTGAAGACCATCGCCTCAGATCTTACCATTGTCGTAAATTTGTTCTAACTTGTCGACCGAACTCAAAGAAAATAATTTGTATCCGGTCCTTGTTCCAACTGCTAGCGACCTGAGGGAAAAAATAGAAATGTCAAATTAGATGACACACTTCTAATTTAATCAGCTGATATTTTTATACGTGACAGACGATGTAAACTATAGGAGATTATTGTCCATTTGCTTACGTGCAATCTTGATTGAAATTCACAAACAGGAGGTCAGACTGTTCGTCCCCGGTTTTAGTTGCGAGGTTCATGAGGCCAGAGAAACTATTGGCCACACCAGAGTAAAGATAATCCGTCCTGAAAGTGTAAAAAAGTATAATTTCTTATTCAGGAAAATGACGTTTATGTCGCCATTTGTTTTGTATTTACAATTTACAACGACGATTTTCATTGGATAATGCTAAACGAAGAGTTTTTGATGAGTTTAGAGGAGTTCCGAGTATATTACGCGCGAAATTTTCTATCATTCAATAAGCAATTTTTAAATGTGATTGATCAGGCCAGGGTAATAAATATATTATTTAATTTGACAAAACCAGTATCTAACATCTAATTTTAAATAGATTGATGCGAATAATAAATTCTCCCCAAGAATTTCTTCATAGAAGTAGGTGGATTTGGATTTTGTACAGTACTATTGCATGGGAAGATCTCACAAAATGAGGGTAACAAGTTTCTGTTTATGGTGTAAAGACAAATGACTAAATGCACAAAGTGTTTTAAAATTACTATATTAATTTCTATATTTTCTTAAGAATCTTTTCCCATTATATCAACAACTTATTTGAGACTACTGTACAAGACTGGACTTAGTACATACTTAATATATCAGCATTGTAGATTAAGAACTTAGTCATTACAGGAACAACGTTTCATCATAAACCAAGACACAAAATATACGCAGAAAAAAGTATGATGTTTTAAAACTACAACATAGAGAAAAGGAGAGCATTCACAATGGAGCTGAAAAATCGATTTCAAGTGCTAGAAGGTGCCGAAAAGACATCCGGGAAATTATAATAAAAGGTTGCAACGACACAGCAGACAGCATACTTAGAGTAAAAGAAAAGGGACAAAAACCCTAGTTAAAGCCATATATGGCGTAACTGATATATATATATATATATATATATATATATATATATATATATATATATATATATATATATATATATATATATATATATTTTTGAAAAATACAAAATTAAGTAAAGAAATAAACTTAATACATTTAAATTAAAGCTTTTCATACAATTCGGAACACGGAGAACACCTCGTTTCATCTAATAATACGATTTCATCTTCTCTGTAATGTGTTATTTAAATCTTTTGTATTTTCTTCCGAGTCGGAGAAAATTCCGAGAATCCAAATTAAATTGTGATATCTTTATAACGCAATTGACTTAGATTTTGTAATTTACGGAAAAGTTCTATCTTTATATAAAGTAATGATACAAATAATAAGTTCTTATAATTTTAGTCTAATAATTTTCATTGTACATACGCCATATATGGCTATAAGCAGAAATTCCTGGAAGGTGGTAGAAGAGAGGAACCAGCTAAAACTCCAACTTGCCAACAGCAGATCAGAAAAATTAAAAAGAAGCTAAAGAAATAAATATTCAATTATAGACAGAAAGGTAAAACACAGTACATGTATGAGGAATGACAGGAGAAAGCCAACATAAGACATGATTACAGATGCAGAAAGAGCAGCAAGTAATGGGCACATGAAAACAGTATATGAAATAACTATAGAGTGCTAAGTAATGAGAAGAAAGGCAACAGCATGACAACGGCAATATAAAGGATAAAGAGGGCAAGATCCTGAGCAGTCAAGATGAAAGAAAAGGTGGAAAGAGCACTAACTTTTAAGAAATATTAAACCGCCCACAACCCGAACATCCACTAGAAGTTGAAAGCGGCGAAGAAGTATTAGATGAGGTGGATACAAGTCCCATATGGAAAGAGGAAATTGTCAAGGTTATACAGAAACTAAAGAATGGAAAAGTTTGAGCAGTAGATTGGATAACAGCTAATATGTTATAAGCAGACACAGAGACAACAGAAGATACTTGAAAAAAAAACAAACTTGTCAACAATCTGGAAACAAGAAACCTTACCATCGGTTTGGAATAAAGGCCTGGTAATGAAAATTCCAAAGAAAGGTGATAGATCGATATGTGATAATTAAAGAGATATAACACTTTTGTCTGTGTCAAGCAAAGTATTCTACAGAATAGTAATACAATGAGTCCAAGAGGAAGTGGATAAACAGCTGCGTGAGGAACAAACATTCTACAGAATAGTAATACAAAGAGTCCAAGAGGAAGTGGATAAACAGCTGCGTGAGGAACAAGCTGGCTTCAGAAGAGGGAGGTGTACAACAGAACAACTATTTATACACCGTAACATCATAGAGCAATGTACTGAATAGAACTCAACATTGCTGGTAAATTGTGTTGACTTTGAAAAGGCATTTGATTCCATTCACAGAGAGAGCCTTTGGTCTATCATGAAGTTTTATGGCATCCCAGAAAAACTGGTCAGAATGGTGAAACTCCTGAATGAATCATTCCAATGTGCAGTCCTAGAAGGTTGAGAAGAAACGGACTAGTTTCGAATAACACAGGAGTGAAGGTTAGTTAGGTTACTGTTGGTTATAAATTATATACGTAATGAAAAGACAGAACCAACAGGAATTTTGTCTGAAACCGCTAATGATTTACAACATGTATATTGCTATAAACATGGAAACTCCATGTTAATGTTAAGAAAACAAAAATTGTCAGTTTTCAAAGAACCATCACCCAAACATACATTTAAATGCAACAACGTTTTAGAAATTGTAAAAGATTTCAATTACGTAGGTATTTTATTCTCAAGATCAGGGTCATTTTCAAAGACCAAGAAACATATATGTAATCAAGCACAAAAAGCAATGTACGGCATTATAAGAAAAAATCGTTATATAATCCATCATTGGACTGTCAGCTAGATCTGTTTGATAAAGTTGTTGTTCCTGTAATGTTATATGGATGCGAAATATGGGGATTTGAAAATATTCACATTATTGAACGTCTACATTTAAGATTTTTGAAATTTTGATATTTTAAAATTAAAATCTACTACACCGAGTTTTATGGTATACGGGGAAACTGGACGTTACATGATGTATGTGCGCATTTATACAAAAATGATATCTTTCTGGGGAAAACTGATGCGTGGAAATGGGAATAAGATCTGCATGTAGAATTATTTATTTACATCTTTATAATAAATACACCAAAAATGGGATTAGTAATCCATGGATATCTTTCTACATAATATTCTTAATACAACGGGGCTGTGTAATATTTGGACTAATAAAAATTTCACAGTGTTAAATGGATTGCAACTGCAATTAAAAAAAAGCTCAAAGACCATTTTTTTTACAGAAATGGTATAGTGATATGAATAATTCCAGTATAGGTATTACATATAGAATTTTTAAAACAAAGTTTGAATGTGAAGAAAATTTAGAAATATTTATTCAAAATTCAGAACAAGTAACAATCGTCTTCCAATAGAGATGGGTAGATGGAATGATGTTGAAAAAAATGAGTGTGCAATTTATGTAATAATAACCAGATAGGAGACGAATTTCATTATTTACTGGAATGTAATGCATTATGTAGTATCCGAAATGTTTTGTTGCAGAAATACTATGTACATCTAAATATTATAAAACTCTGTAATTTGATGACAAGTACTCATCCAGCATTCTTACAGAAATTGTGTTTATTTATCACAAAATTTTTGACACTGTCTGTCCTCCTGTAATTTCTGCTCGTCCATAATTATTGTAAATGTATATTTATGTTTAAAGTCATCCTTTCGTAATTTCTATGGTCGATACAATGACCTTGTCAGCAAATACAATTTATCATTGAGTCAAATGCTGACTGACGTTTTCATACCAATTGTTAGTCCATTATTTATACACTACATTGACGACGGCTTTTCCCGTTATTTCACGATCATGACAATGAGCACACGGTGGGTGTGACCGGTCAGCAGGGGATGCTCACTCCTCCATGGCACCTGATCTTACCTCTGATGTTTTGGAGTTCCGTGTTTCCTCTGCTCCTATTTTGTATTGTTTTCTGGACTTTGATATTAAATACTGTTCGTTATCTTCATATCCTCCAAATATGTTCCTCTTTTACCATACATATATGGTTCTTGAGAGAAATAAATGAATGAATGATTGTTGAATTTGATTAAGCGAATTCAATTCGTTATAACAAATTTTAAAATTTGTTTACACAAATTCAATTTGTGATTTTCAATTAGTGATAGTAAATTTTAGAATTCGTTTAAACGAATTTAATTCGTTGTAACAATTAAGTTTTGAATTCGTTATAACTTCAACAAATTTGTTATAACAGATTAAGTTTTGAATTCGTTATAACTTCAACAAAGAAGATGGGTGAACAAGGCGGGCAGAATGCCTATAGCGTCCGATATTAAGAAATCATATTCATTATGTGAATTGAGTATTTCAATTAACTTCTAATTATTGAGTTTTTGGAAATTATGAGAAATAAGAACTTTTATAAGGGAAAAAAAAATCTCGCAAAATTTTTTTTTCTCATAAAATCAATAAAAATCCGACGTATCAATAACATACTGCTTTGAGACTAACCACTATGCTACATCACTCATGGTGATTTTGGGCATTTAAATCATGTTTGTGATATGACCCGCGACTGGACTTGAAGTATTTCTGGAAAAGATGCGAATGTTGTGTCATAAAAGTGTTCTTTTAAGGTAAAGTGGGTCTTCGCTCCATGTTTTTTAAAAACCAAAAAATGTGTATTTTATTGGAAACTTTTAGGATCATCTTTCAAAAAAATGGAACGAAGACCCACTCACATTGAAACATGATCGTTTTTGTACTTTTTAGTCTGTGTAAGCTTTTTCACAGGCAAATATTTTCTGTTTGTGTGATATTTTTTTTTAAATTGTAGAGGTTTTTCATAAAGAATACTTTAATACTAGATGAAATATCAAATAAATTCTGGATTTAGTTGAGATTAAAATTTTCACTTCTTATCTGTCGCATTATAGGCACTTCGGCCGCCTTATCCACCCATCTTCTTTGTTATAACAGATTAAGTTCGTTATAACGAATTCAAAGAAACTGTTAAAACGAGTTAAATTCGTTATAACGAACTCGACAATTCGTTTTATCGAATTATAAATATTTTTGATAGGTCATAAATTGGCCTCCGTATAATCATGACAAACTTCCTGTGAAACAAACAGAAGTGAAGTGAATAATAATTTTTTTTTCACATACTTAATAAAATTACATAGTGATTAAATTGGTTTCACTCGCATATCAAATGGATAAGGATACCCGTACTTCCGTTTTTGTTTTGCACCCACTCAACTCTGCAAAACAGGTGTTCAAACCACTTGATTTGCCAGTTGAAATATATATGTGCTTGTTTGGATCTTAAAGTAATCAGACTTTGTAACCATGCAGAGCGCATGCGCCTAATCTGGAACGGGAAGCCATGTTATGTTTGCAGGTAAATAGCTATTAAAATACTCAAAGACTTACTAAAAGAAAGTATATACCGTAAATCTGGAAATTTTTACGTCGATTTTATTTTGCGAATTCGGGTCAAAATGGTGTTGATTAATTTTTACGTTTCAAAATTTTGCGCATTACCACTGCTTTGTTTACATTTTCTAATTGGTAATTTATTTTTAGGAAAAATATTTTTGCGAATACAATGAACTCGCAAATTTGCTAAAAATTTATCTACAGCAAAAATTTCCAGATTTACGGTATCAGTTGCGTAAAATTGGACATAAACATTTATACAGTGAAAGAAATTTGAAGAAATCTAGCATGATAAAGGGTACATGTTCGAACAAAAAGTATGTGAAGTTTGTCATAAGTTATAACACGTCAAAACATGATATTGAATGAATACTTCAAGCTCGATTTTTTAAAATCCTATATACGATTTTTAAACTCTATTTTAAGACTTAGTTTATGAATGTTTACAGTCTCGTCTAGTTGTGTGACAAATACTTTAGCAATGGACCCCAGATATAGCGCACAAGAAGTACTACTTTGTGACCTTTGTGAAAAAGATGAGCTACAAACTCATTGTGAACCTTGTAATGTAAACCTTTGTTTAAACTGCATTGGGAAACACCTGTTTGATCCGTCTAAAAGACACAACGTTGTGCCATACAGGCAAGTAAAACAGGACCAACAACAGAACTTTACTTACATTTATCCGAAATGTTCAAAACATGCCCCCAAAAATTGTGAACTTTTTTGTGAAGAATGTGACATTTCTATTTGTTCTGGGTGCCTCTCTTCTGGAAAACATAAAGGACATGATTTGTTGGATATCCTACAAAAACACAAATCTAAGATAGAAATTCTTAAAATTGATCTGACAGAGCTCAGACATAGGATATATCCCACCTTTCAAAATATTGCGTCTGGTGTAAAGGTGGAAAAAGAAAAGTTAGACAAGCATTATGGGCAACTAACATCAGATGTCATTAAACAAGGAGATAACTGGCATAGAGAAATTGAAATAATTGTGAACAAAAGAAAATCGGAAATTGAAGTGATGAAGATGAAACATTTGATGGCCCTAGAAAAGCAGGAAAATGAAATTACAACAATACTGTCTGAGATAAATCAGAGTACTGTCAAACTTGAGAAAGTACTGTCATCCAGTGATGTCTCATTGGCATTTGAAAACCAATCTAAAAATTCTGAATTTAGAAAGTTGCCTCCTAAACTCAATGCAACCTTACCAAAATTTTTTGCTTCAAAGATCAATACAGAAGAATTCAATCTCTTATTTGGTAAGCTTTCAGAATTATCCATAAGGATAGAGGATCCTGAACCTTCATGTCTTCCCCCATTCAAACCATTTCTTGACGAACCAGAGTTAATCACAACTCTGTTCACTGATTTTGTTAATCTAACGAGTGTCTCCTGTTCTAAAGAAGAAGAAATTTGGACCTGTGGAAGAAACAAAATAATGAAACTGTACAATATCGAAAGCGAGCTGCTAATGCCTGTCAAAAGTAAGTCAGGGAATGACGTCGAGGACATAGTGGTGATGAAGAGTGCAGAATTAGTTTACACTGATCCTGATGAAAGAACTGTGAACATAGTAAAGAAAAATCAAATAGAAGAATTGATTCGACTTCAAGGGTGGAAACCCCGCTTTCTCTGCAGTACCTCTTCTGACGAACTTCTAGTTACCATGGACAGTGATGATAATAAACAATCAAAAGTTGTCCGTTACTCTGGATCTACAGTAAAACAAACCATTCAGTTTGATGATGGACGCCTCTCTCTGTATTCATCGCCTGGTTACTTTAAGTACATTTGCGAGAACAAAAACCTGGACATCTGTGTAGCAGATAATGGAGCCCAGGCAGTAGTAGTTGTAAATCACACAGGAAATCTCCGATTCAGGTACACTGGTTGTCCCTCGTCTTCCAGACGCTTTTATCCATATGGCATAACTAAAGACAGTCGGAGTCAAATCCTTATTTCAGAAAATCTCAGAGACCGTATTCATATTTTAGACCAAGATGGACGGTTTCTTAGTTTCATTGAAAACTTTGACCTTGTTAATCCATGGGGCTTATGTGTTGACAGCAAAGACGACCTTCTTGTGGTCATGAGCTCAAATGGAGAGGTGAAAAAAATCAAATACATGTAAAAATTGCGTTCATTACAGGAAGAAACTATCGTGAGATCATAAGGTTCCAGTAATAACATATTAAGACGGAGAAGGTAGGAATTGGGCACGGCTAAGGCATGGGCATGTGTGTCCCGGAGGATAGTTTTACCTCGTAAGGGCTCAATATTTGTGATGCCTTTTTTGTTTCAAATTTATATTTACATGTAAATCTCACAGTTTTTTTTACTAAGCAGACTCACTCAATGAATGTTTGTTTAAATATCATAGTTGAGGATATTCTTGTTCATGATAAAGAAATTCGTTTTTGCTCCAGTTAAAAGATTTTTAACGTGTAGATGTCCAGATGTAACTAGGAATCTTATTTTTTAATCTAAAGTTAATGCTTTTATAACCTTTGAGGCGATTTAGTCTATTTTTCATGAGATATGTAAGCGAGGTTAAACATGTTGCAATGCAGAAATGTAGGACTGTCTCAGAGACTGGAAAGCCTCACTCGAAAAAAAAATTCGCCCATCCTTGTAAACTCGCTTAATTTTTTTGTAGTATATTTTTAGCGTATCCAAGAAAGAAATTACTTCTGATTTGTAAATGAGGAAATCTATACTTATAAATTAATAAATTTTGCAAATTAACTCAAAAGCGGGCGCACCAGAGTTTTGATAACTCTTCTAACAATAAAGTATGACTATACATGTACCAGATATTTTAAAATTCATTGACGTAGCTAAAGCAGTTTTATTTTTATGGTGCTAATCCACGAACTTTTTGATACCCGCTTGACATGTTTAGATTAAAGCACACAACTTTCGCGCAAGCGAGGGGACATTAAAATTCATTTGTCTGTCCGTCATTCTGTTCGTCCGTCACAATAACTTGAACCTTACCCATAACTTTTGATTAAGTGGAGCAATGACTTTCATATTTCACATGTGTATTTTTTGTGACAAGGCCTTTCTTTGGGTACCATTTAATTTGACCTTTTGACCTTGACATTGGAGTCCGACCCATTTTTAGACCAAACAAGATGTGTTTGTGAAACACTATGCGCACGGCGGCAACAAAGTTAACAAGCTAATTCAGAGAATTCGTGTCTCCCGCTTAGGGAAAAAGTCGGCTCCCCCTGACTGAATTTGTAGAATTATTAAATGTATACATGTATACTGAAGGAAATAAAATACATGTATGTCAATATACATATAAAGATTTGATTGCTTATTCTTTATTATGTGTATAGAAGATTTTTTTTATATGGAATATTTATCACACTGAATGATGATTTTATAACCTCATAAATTTTTCATTTCACATGCTGAATACTATAATTTAGTAAAAAAAAAAAGTATTTAAAAAAAAAAAAAAAAAAAAAAGAAAGGTACGACCGAGATTCGATCCCGGGACCTCTCACATTTGAAGCGAGAGACATAACCACTAGACCACGGAGTCGCTTTAAATGGGGTGAAGTATATTCAGAACTGAAGTCAAGTACATGTATATATTCATGTTTTCATGTACGGTATTCTCAAAATTTTACACAATCCATGGTGTTTGATTTATTTAGCCTTTATTAAACAGTTCTAATAGATGTAATAAGAACATAAAGTCCGCCGAGAACCTGTTTTATACGCAATAACTCTCCTCATGCCCCTGCGCTAAAAATAGCGACATGTAATACTATAAATACTAATAAAACAAACGGGGCGGGGCACTTTGAGAGGGGCGAGAGACGTCCTAGGGAGTTTTGGTATAAAATTACATTGCATAAGCTCAAAATCTTCTTCAAATATCCCCCGGAAATGATAGTGTTACACACAGACAGAATGTATAAATTTACGACCTTGAACTTTGACCTTTTGACCTCAAAATCAATAGGGGTCTTCTTTAGGCCACAGGGAGTTGTTATGTAAAATTTCATTGCAATAGCTCAAATGGTTCTAGAGATATCGTGTGGAAACGAAAGTGTTTTAACAGACAGAATTTGCTTATTTATGACCTTGACCTTTGACCTTTTGACCTCAAAATCAATAGGGGTCTTCCTTAGTCCATAGGGAGTTGCTATGCTAAATTTCATTGCAAAAGCTCAAAGGGTTCTCGAGATATCGTGTGGAAACGAAAGCGTTACAGACAGACAGAAAGACGGACGGACGGACGGACGGACGGACAGACGGACGGACGGACGGACGGACGGACGGACGGACAAACCCAAATTAATATCCCCCACTTTTCAAGCGGGGGACAAAAAACATTTTTAGCATATAGGTCATGATCACATTCAAAATCACAAGGTCATTGGTCATTTGAACGAACTTGATAAGAGAAGTATGCATACCAAATATGAAGTCTCTGTCTCTCATGGTTCAAAAGTTATGGTGAAGGTTCAAAGAAGCTATTTTTAGCATATAGGTCACATTCAAGATCACAAGGTCATTGACCTTGGTATCATGTGAAAGGGCTTAATAAGTGGAGTATGCATGCCAAATATTAAGTCTCTATCTTTCTTCGTTCAATAGTTATAGCGAAAGTTAAAGTTTGCCGACAAAAAATATATTTAGCGTATAGGTCACAGTCAAGGTCACAAGGTCATTGAACATGATGTCATTTTTAAGAAATTTATCAGTGGTATATGCATACCAAATACGAAGTCTCTATCTTTTATGGTTCAAAAGTTATGGTGAAGGTTAAAGTTTGCAGAAAAAAACTATTTTTAGCATATAGCTCACAATCAAGGTCACAAGGTTATTGACCTTGGTATCATTTAAATAGTTTAATAAGTGGAGTATGCATACCAAATATGAAGTCTCTTTCATTCATGGTTCAAAAGTTATGACAAAGGTTAAAGTTTGCAGACAAACAGACAAACATATAAACAGACAAACAGACAGGACAAAAACTATATACGCCTCGGATCTTTCAATGCGGGCGCATAAAAATTAAACTTTTACTTTGGCGATAACTTTTGAACAGTAAATACAAGGACTTTCATATTTCACATTTGTATTTTTTGTGGAAAGACATTTCATTGGATACCAACAACTTTGAACTTTTGACTATGGAGATATCCGTCCTTATGAAAAACTTCAACTTTGGCCACAGCTTTTAAACGGTAAGGGCTAAGGCTTTCAGACTTCACATGTGTGATCCTTATGAGAAGACCTTTCATTGGATAACAAGAACTTTGACCTTCTGACCTTGTCCTTGGGATTTGAGCTACTTTAAAAAACAGACCTTGGCCATAACTTTTGAATGGTTAGGTCTATAACTTTCATTTTTCATATATTTAATTCTTGTGACAAGACCTTTCATTGGATATCAAGAACTTAGACCCTCTGACCTTGACCTTGGGGTTTTATCTACTTTTTAAAAACTTTAACCTTGGTCATAACTTTTTCATAGTAAGGGCTAAGACTTTTATACTTCACATATATAATCTTTGCGAGAAGATCTTTCATTTGATACCAAGAACTTTGACCCTTTTACCTTGTCCTTGGGGTTTCACTTACTTTGAAAGATACAAACCTTGAGCATAACTTTGAAAGGTTGGGGCTAGGGATTTTATACTTCATATAATTAATTCTTGTGACAAGAACTTTTATTGGATATCAAGAGCTTTGACCTACTTTTAAAAAAACTTTAACCTTGGCCATAACTTTTGCACGATTAGGACTAGGAATTTCATACTTCACGTATGTAATTCGAATGTAATTGAGAAGAACTTTTATAAGATAGCAAGAACTTTGACCTTGAAGTTTGATCTACCTTTCAAAATCGTATCCTTTGCCATAACTTTTGAACAGGTGGTGCTAGGGCTTTCATATTTCACATTCGTATTTATTGTGAGAAGACCTTAATTTGAGTACAAATATATTTAATTTGTATAAAAGAAAATTTTAATATTCATTATTTTTCCATACGTGGCCATCTGTGTTTCACAAACACATTTTGTTCCTTATAACTTTTTATTGAGAAGAGATAGGGCTTTCATATTTGACCTGTGCATTATCTGTGACAAGATATTTTCGAGCATACTATGATTTCTGACCCCTTGGCCTTGACCTTCACGATTGACCTTTTTTTAAAAAAAATCAATTTATGTGATACTGTAAACGTTTTACATTTGGCGGTGTATTCTTTTAGCGTTTTTGGCGGAAAGAAACTCCCGCTAATTCAAGTACAACGTTAAATGTCTTAAACATATATATTAAGAAATGCGCTCAGGGGTTTTCCTGGCTTATTTTTGGGTCCGTTTACCGGACCCATTCCCAATCAAAAAATCAGCCATATTTTCCCAATTTTGAATCTTTTTTCCCAATTATGTATCCATGAAAAAAAATTTGAGAGTTCAGAAAGAAATAAAATATTTGTTTGAATTGTTTCCTTGCAGGACGTCTGTAAATCACGACATGGTCAACATTGATCGTATCATTGAGCTATAAAAATAAGTGATGCAACACATCTAGTAAATCACCAACAATGTTTAGTGATTAGTTATTTAATCACTTTTTAGCCATTAAAATTACCCAAATCTTTTAGAGAAAATAAAAAAAGGTTGCAGTTATCACAAAAGTTGTCAATGTGCAGTCCTTGTATCATCTAAAAATAGCAAGGGTTAGACTAATTTGCCTAAACACAAAAAACCTGTCATCCCACTTTTTTTTTACATTCTCATTAAAATAGGCCTATTCTGAGAAATATTTTCATTAATTTTTGTTAAAATACATTATGATAATAAAATCACTGGAAAACAATTTATTCCCAGCATATTATTTCCACAATTGTTTTATTTTTTATTTTGTTTTGTTTTTTTTTACTCCTGTCATGAATGTCAAGTAAATAAAACTAAACATTTTTCAATGTTTTTCTTCCTCTAATTTTTATTATTCATGAAAAAATATACTCACAATGATTGGTATAATATTAAAAAAATATTTTGTTTTCTGAAATTTTCCAAAAAATATTATTTCCTCTGAAACCTTTTCTTCACATCATGAATATATCTAAATATTTTCCTTGGAAGTTTTCAT